ATTTTATAGGGATTTTAAAGGGATTTTATAATTTTTCTAATACAGGTTAATTAATATATATTTTAATTTGGCTTTTAAATATTTATTGTATAGCTCTGTTTTTATTTACCTGTAAGCCGCCCTGAGTCCCTCGGGAGAAGGGCGGGGTATAAATTAAAGTAATAAAAAAAAAAATAAAAGGTCTACCTGGACTTGGAACTTGTTGGAGGAAATAAAGTTTGACAAACATCACAGGAACAAGGCTGGGAAAGACTCTGATGAATTAGCCAGGAAGTAAAAGTTTATTCCCCTAGCATCAGAATGGGGAACTTAGCCCAATAAAAAGAAAAAAAAAACAGAGAAAGGAACAAAGCTTTGCTTTGGCCAAAGAGGAAATAAAAGACAATGTTAGAGACATTATTTATTTTTAAAATGTGCAATAATTGCATTTACCTCCCCCCGCCCTTCCAGGCCTTTGCTGGTACAGGCAGTCCTTAACTTAATGACCACAATTGAGCCCAACATTTCTGTTGCTAAGCGAGACATTTGTTAAGCAAATTTGGCCCCATTTTACAACCTTGCTTGCCACAGCTGTTAAGTGAATCACTGCAGTTGGTAAGTTAATAACATGGTTGTTAACTGAATCTGGCTTCCCCATTGACTTGGCTTGTTGGAAGGTCACAAAAAGAGATCGCATGACCTCAGGACACCGCAACCGTCATAAATACGAGTCAGTTGCCAAGCGTCTGAATTTTGATCACGTGACCCTGGGGATGCTGCAATGGTCGTTAAGTGGGAAAAACGATCATAGGTCGCTTGTTTCAGTGCCACTGTAACTTTGAATGGTCACTAAATGAAGTGTTGGAAGTCGAGGACTACCTGTATAGTCTGTGTGTGTGCGTGCGTGTGAGTGTGATAATATATGATTCTTCTTTGTTCTCTTCTTGGGGAGGGTTAAGGAAGCTCTCCCACCGTTTTCTTTGGAGCAGGACCAGTTGGAAGCTCTTCCTTCTCTGTCATTTTTTCGTACATTAGAATTCTGCAGCGAAGCAGGAAAACAAAAATGAATTCACAGAAGATACTCTTCATTTCCCCTGAGTTAATGTCTTTCCCTCTTCGAAACCTGGTTGTTACAACATTATTACAAAAGGAATAATATGGGGGGTGGGGGGGTGGGTGTTAAATAACTAGAATCAGAGAATCCTTGCTAACCTGTTCACCTTGGAGATCTATCCACAGATTCCTAACTTCTGCAGAGATTTGTTTTAAAACTTGCTCTACTTTTTTGCCAGTCCAAATGCTTAGCCTGGTAGAAATCAAGACAGCTTGATAGAATAAGAGTTAATAGAATAAGAGTTGGGACATTAGAGATCTTCTAGTAGTATAACTCCCTGTTCAAGCAGGAGTCCCTATACCAGTGAGGGCAAACCTTTTAGAGACTGAGTGCCCAAACTGCAACCCAAAACCCACTTATGCATCGTCGGGTGCCGGGTAGGCATGGCCCATTGGGTGATTGTGGCCCATTGGGTGGGCATGGCCCATTGGGTGGGCGTGGCCCATTGGGTGGGCATATCTGCGGTGGTAATGGCAGACTGGGTGGGACTAAAAAGTTCAATGAATCAATTCCAACTTTGCGAGATCTTTTTTTTTCCTGTGAGAAGTTGAAATTGATTGATTGATTGAACCTTTTTTTTTTTTGCACATGGCGATGGAGGCCTAAAGCGGAAAGGTTTTATAAAACCCAGCTGAAGGCCTAGAACTGGGGCGACGGCGCGCGTGCCCACAGAGAGGGCTCTGCTTGCCACCTGTGGCACGCATGCCATAGGTTCGCCACCACGGCCCGAGGGCTTTTTTTTGTCATAGAACGCCCAGAACGGAGTTCTGGCACTTTTTTTGGATGGAACCTTGTAGGGTAGGCAAGGAGGGTTGTATGACGTGTGTGAGTTCCGGCACTTTTTTTTTTTTTTTTTTTTTTTTTTACAAAAAAAGCACTGCACGGCCCTATACCATTTCAAACAAATGGATGTCCAATCTCTTCGTAAAAACCTTCAGTGATGTAGCACCCACAACTTCTGAAGGCAAGCTGTTCCACTGGTGAATTGTTCTCACTGTCAGGAAATTTCTCCTTAATTCTAAGTTGCTTCTTTCCTTGCTGATTTCCATCCATTGCTTCTTGTCCTGCCTTCAGGTGCTTTGGAAAATAGGTTGATAACTTATTTTTTGTGGCAGCCCCTCAAATATTGGAACACTTCTATCGTGTCACCCTTAGTCCTTCTTTTCACTAGACTGGTCATACCCAGTTTCTGCAACTGTTCTTTATATGTTTTAGCCTCCAGCCCCCTCATCATCTTTGTTGATCTTTGCACTCTTTCCAGAGTCCCAACATATTTTTTTATATTGTGGCAATCAAAAGTAGATGCAGTATTCCAAGTGTGGCCTTATGAAGGCATTATAAAGTGGTATTAACATTGCATGTGATCTTGATTCTATCCCTCTGTTAATGCAGCCTAAGGTTGTGTTAGCTTTTTTGGCAGCTGCAGCACACTGCTGGCTCATATTTAAGCAATTGTTCACTAGGACTCCAAGATCCCTCTCATAGTTACTGCTATTGAGCAAGGTACCATCTATTCTATACCTGTGCATTTGGTTTTTCCTGCCTAAGTGTAGAACTTTACTTTTCTCACCAGTGAATTTCATTTTGTTAGAGTAGGGCCCAGTATTCAAGTCTCTCAAGGTCCTTCTGAATCTTGAGCCTATCTTATGGGATGTTGGCTATTCCTACCACCTTGGTGTCATCTGCAAATTTGATGAGTTTCTCATCTAAATAGTTTATGTAGTCGGTCTAAAACAGAACATTGGGGTACCCCACTGCTTACTTCCCTCTATGTTGATGTAGGTTAATAAAGAAGAGGGAGTCAAGCTATTCTCCAAAGCGCCTGAAGGCAGGACAAGAAGCAACGGGTGGAAACTAATCAAGGAGAGAAGCAACCTAGAACTAAGGAGAAACTTCCTGACAGAACAGTTAACCAGTGGAACAACCTGCCTCCAGAAGCGGTGAATGCTCCAACACTGGAAGTTTTTAAGAAGAGACTGGACAGCCATTTGTCCGAAATGGTATAGGGTTTCCTGCCTGAGCAGGGGGTTGGACTAGATGACCTTCAAGATCCCTTCCAACTTTACTATTATTATTATTATTATTATTATTATTATTATTATTATTATTATTATTATTATTATTATTATTATTATTATTATTATTATTATTATTATTATTATTATTATTAGGTTCATTAAGGACTACACATTGAGTTCAGTTTGTCAGCCAGTTACGAATGCATCTGGTGGTGATGCTGTCTATCCCACATTTTTCTAACTTAGTAAGAAGTAGGCTTGCGGTCCACTTTGTCAAATTCCTTTCTGAAATCCAAGTATCCTATGTCCACAGCACTTCTCTGCTCCACCTATGTCATATTGTAAATCGCCCAAGTTATCTTATGATAAAATGAGTGGTTAATACATTTAATAAATAAATACTTACATTTTAAGGATAGCTGATCGCTTTCCCAGCATCACAGCGACAAAGTCATGGTAGTTGATGGTTTCTCGCATCCCTCCTGTGGCCTCAGTGATCATTTTTTTCAGTTCTAGGTGGGTCTTGGCTGCACCCAACTTTTCCAACATCCGCTTCAGAGCCATGATATCTTGAGGGAACAGGAGGAACAAGAATGAACCACAATAAAAAGAAAGATAAAAGGCATACAAAATGCACCAGCTTCTAAGAATATAGGATAGGGTAGGGTAGGATAGGATAGGATTAGGGGAGGATAGGGTAGGGGAGGATAGGTTAGGATAGGATTAGGGGAGGATAGGATAGGATAGGATTAGAGGAGAATAGGGGAGGGTAGGATAGGATAAGATTAGGGTAGGAAGATAGGGTAGAATAGGATAGGATTAGGGTAGGGTAGGATAAGATAGGATTAGGGTAGGGGAGGATAGGGGAGGATAGGATAGGATTAGGGGAAGATAGGATTAGGGGAGGATAGGGTAGGGGAGGATAGGATTAGGGGAGGATAGGATTAGGGGAGGATAGGATTAGGGGAGGATAGGGTAGGGTAGGATAGGATAGGATAGGATTAGGGGAGGATAGGTTAGAATAGGATTAGGGTAGGATAGGGTAGGATAGGATTAGGGTAGGGTAGGATAGGATTAGGGTAGGGTAGGATAGGATAGGGTAGGACAGGGTAGGATAGGATAGGATAGGACAGGATTAGATTAGGGTAGGATAGGATAGGATAGGATAGGATATGGTAGGGTAGGGTAGGGTAGGGAAGGGAAGGGTAGGTAGAGAAGAGAAGGGCAGGGCAGGGTAGGATAGGGCAGGGCAGGGCGGGGCGGGGCAACGAATGGAAACCGAGCAAAGAGAGAAGCAACCTAGAACTAAGGAGAAATTTCCTGACAGTCAGAACAATCAATCAGTGGAACAACCTGCCTCAAGAAGTTGTGAATGTTCCAACACTGGAAGTTCTTAAGAAGAGACTGGACAGCCATTTGTCTGTAATGGTATAGGGTTTCCTGCCTGAGCAGGGGGTTGGACTAGATGACCTCCAAGGTCCCTTCTGACTTTATTATTATTATTGTTATTGTTAGTATTAGTATCAGTATTACTATATTATTAGTATTATTATTATAGTTTGTAAGTGTTAATCTCTGACACTGTGTCTTCTGCTTTAAAAATGGCCTCTCTACAAATAGCTACACATAACTGGTATGTATAGCTATATTATTCCACTTCAGATAAATCTGTTAATCTCACCTTTTCTTCAGAAGTTAAAGAGGGTTTATAGGAGGTGCTCCTTTCATTTTAGCCCTCCAATAATGGCTCTGTGAAATTAGCTCCAAAATCATTCAATTTCCACAGGTGACAGACAGTGGATTTAAATCTGGGTCTCCCCAGTCTTAAACCAGCATTTTAAGCACTGCACTGCACTCATCCACAAATTTATGAACAATTAATATTTTCACATGGTATTTTTCTTTCTGGCCTTTCCATTTTTTTGCCTTGTTAATCTTAATAGTCTTAACTTCTGATTTGATTGGTTTTTTTACTGATTTTAATTCTTTGGTTTTTATTTTGTTACATTTGTATACTTGTCTTGCAGACTTTTGTAGTTTAAACAACTTGGCTTTTGAAAGCAAGATGTTTTGTTTCTTTAGGTTTTTTCTCTCTTGAATGATATTATTTTTAATTGCAGACCTCTCCATGTATATATATACAGTATATATAAATAAATGTGTATAATGTGTATAATATTGCTAGGAAAAAATTGCCATGGATACAAACATGGAAGATATTAGGAATCAAGCTTCACACGGAAGAAGCATTATTTTACTGTGGTATTTTATTAGTAATTGGAACAATCAATAAATCAGGATAATTGATGATTTCATTCTTTTAAATTTTTTAAATAAACTTTATTAGAAGTTTGAAAACACAATAAAAACTAACAAGAAGTAATATTTAAAATGAAAATAGAGGAAAAAAGAAAAAGAATAAAGACAAGAATGCAGTAATGAAAGAAAGGAAAAATTATAAAGAAACTAGCTGTGGCTCAGTCTGGTTAAATGGAAAAGAAAGAAAAGAGAAAGCGCACGTTTGTAATATGTAGTGTGTGTTGCTTTTACGTCCAACAGATGGCACTGTTTTTCAAAAAAAGCATGTTTTACCTGTCACAGGTGTGACATCTATATAATATAGGTATATAGAAACATGCACGTATTCGAATGCAACATTGTGTCAAAATTTCAAAGCAATTGGTGAAGAGCTTTCGGAGATTTAAGATTTTGAACAAACGAACATTTACATTTTTATTTATATATATAGAAGATGACTTTCAATTTTTTTTTTACAGCAGATAAGTATAAATATAAGAACCCATTCTTTTAAAATTGTAATAGAAATGGATTTGATCCATCATCCAACCCATATTTCCTGAATAAAGATTTGGATTAGAATACAGTTTCCTTTCTAATTGTACACTTCCAGATTTAGTAACAGAGGGCCTCATTCAAAAAGCAGACCAATATGCCTATTCATATGTATATTTTTTAATGAGTTTAGAAATGTTTACTTTGAAAGCACATATATTTGGCTATCCTTTAAATATTCTAAACTGAAGATGTGAGGACCGTTTTTACAAAACAGCAGATTGATGCAGAAATAATATCGAATGGAAATTGCAAAGATTGACCGGTTCGTTTTTACACTAAATTCTAAATCCATATTTTTATGGATGATGTGTCAATTTCATTTTTAAAACTGTGATTAATTTTAAATATGTTGGCTGAGAACTGGAGGAGTTGTTGGGAGTGTAGGAGGTAAAACAATCTTAGCATATTTCTGTGTGATTATTTATGGTCTGTACTATTCACAGAGCAGAAAGATTATGGATGCTTATAGAAAAATATTTCTGCGCCCATTCGTGGGAATCTCATCTATCAATAACACTTACCTATATCACCTTGTGCGTTGAGATCAAATTCCATGTACTTCTCTGCAAAAGAAAGCAGGTCAGCAGAACATTTTAAGTTTATCCAATCCACCATAAGTTCCAACAGCAACTGCTCAGATGGTATAGGGTTTCCTGCCTGAGCAGGGGGTTGGACTAGATCAGGGCTTTTCAACCTTTTCACCCATTGTACCACTTTTAGGATATGGCAATATCCGAGTACCACCAGTCGCCTAGCAAGGTGTCAAAAACTTGATGACCAAAAAAAAACCCAGAAAAAAGTGATAAAGTACAGGTAGTCCACGACTTAAAACAGTTCATTTAGTGACTGTTCGAAGTTACAATGGCACTGAAAAAAGTGCCCCCCAAGCCACAGCTGAGCAAGTCACCTGCCTGCCCACCCGGCGGCGCTCTTCCTCCTGTCTGAGGTTTTTATTGTTGTGAGCATTTCTGTTGAGGATTGGCAGCGGGGGTGAGGGTGGGGGGTGTTTGGTTTTTATTCCCCCCGTCTGCTGGGTGGTTGCAGCAGGTTTTGGTCACTTCACATGACCCTGGGACACTGTGACTAATAAATATGAATCAGTTGCCAAGCATCTGAATGTAAATCACAAGACCCTGGAGATGCTGCAACATTCCAGCTGATCGGTGCTTCTTCTGGGCTCAGCAGAAGCGCCAGGATCAGCACCGAGCTCCAGCTGGAGCCTGGCGCTGATCCTGGTGCTTCCACTGAACCCTGACAGCCCCAAAGAAGTGCCGATCAGCTGGAAAGCGACACTGATCCTGGCACTTCCGCTGAGCCCTGATAGCCCCGAAGAAGCGCCGATCAGTTGGAAAGCGGCACTGATCCTGTCACTTCCGCTGAGCCCTGACAGCCCTGCAGCTCCAGCCGTCTCTCGCTCAGGCTTGTGCGGTGCTGCCACCGGTTCAGCTCATTCCCCTCCCTCACTACCACTTTTCTAGGATGGTTGCATACCACCTGCCAGGTGCCAATGTACCACAGGTGGTACCCGTACCACTGGTTGAAAAGCCCTGGACTAGATGACCTCCAAGGTCCCTTCCAACTTTACTACTACTACTACTACTACTACTACTACTACTACTACTACTATTATTATTATTATTATTATGATTATTATTATTATTATTATTATTATTATTATTATTATTATTATTATTATTATTATTATCCTATGAAGCCGAGATCCAGTCCTCAGATTTAGTTGTATACCTGCACATAAATTTAGAGATTTTATCCTCATGCTAATTTGACTCTTCTGTGTTTGGATGCACAAGGAAGAGGGATCACAAATCAATGTAATCCTATCATCTATCTATCTATCTATCTATCTATCTATCTATCTATCTATCTATCTATCTATCTATCTATCTATCTATCTATCTTCCATCTCTATATCTCTATCAATCATCTAATATCTATCTATCTATCTATCTATCTATCTATCTATCTATCTATCTATCTATCTATCTATCTATCTATCTATCTATCTATCTATCTATCTATCTATGATTTAACTCCCCTTAATACCATAATACAGCAGCATGATATTGAATAAATGGAGCCTCAGCATAATATGAAGATGTAGGGTTAAAAGAAAGGAGTAGCCATAAAGGTTAAGGAAAGGGATCCATTGATATACCAAACAAAAAGGGGAACAACCCATATAATTGATTTGAGTGTTCCTGATTTACTTAAAGGCGCTTTTTAAAAATGCATCCAGATATGAATCATGCACTGTATACAGGTAGTCCTTGACTTATGACCACAATTGAATCCAAAATTTCTGTTGCTAAGTAAGACATTTGTTAGGGGGTCTTGCCCCATTTTATGACCTTTCTTGCCACACTGGTTAAGCCACGGGTAGGCAACCTGGGCTCTTTTATGACTGGTGGACTTCAACTCCCAGAATTCCTGAGCCAGCATGGCTCAGCTTGGAAACCTCTCCCTTTTCCCTAAGCATGGCTGGCTCAGGAATTCTGGGAATTGAAGTCCACCAGTCATAAAAGAGGTTTGCCTACCCCTGGGTTAAGCGAATCTCTGCAGTTTTGTTAAGATGGCGACATGGTTGTTAAGTGAATCTGGCTTTCCCATTGACTTTGCTTGTCAGAAGGTGGCAAAAAGTGAAAACGTGGCCCCAGGACACCGCAACGGTCATAAATACGAGTCCGTTGCCAAGTGTCTGAATTTTGACCATGTGACCAAGATCAAGGGTCGTAAGTGTGAAAAACGGTCATAAATCACTTTTTTTCAGTTCCGTTGTAACTTTGAACGGTCACCAAAAGAAAAGCTGTAAGTTGAGGACTACCTGTGCTTGTTGTTACTCAGTGTGCAAATCAGACAACTAAAGGTCCTTGGGATTATCCTCCTTCCCCCAAATCCCCCAAATGAAGAAAATAAAACCGTTCTCTCCTCACCTCCTAAATTAGGCTAATGAAGATTGAAAAAACTTTCAGGACATGGAGTGCTGATTGTTGGAGCGCAACAACTTCCATTCAAGTTGTTATTATGCAACACCTGGATTGGCTTGACATTCCTGTTATTTATTTATTTTTTAAATTTCAGCACCTGAGCTGCTTTATTTCAGGATCAGATGCCAGGAATTACTTCTGGGTTGAGGAGGAAAGGCTGGGGAGTTGGAGATGGGCCATTTCTCCCTTGAAATAAACGGTGTCCTCTTCTCCTAGTTCCTGAGCATCAGCTGCGCTGGCAGGTCCTTTAACGGGCAGCTTGGCTTGCCAGCTTTTCATCTCCCCCTCCGAAGGCCAGGCAAAGCCAGCAGGGCTGACTATGAATAAGATCCTGGTATTTTCCTCCTCTGTTTTGGCAGGGAAGCTACACTGGCCTGAAAATCATAGACCCCATAGGTTCCTCTTATTCTATCTCTAGAATGAGGATCGTGGAGCTGTTGTCCTTGTGTTGGAAGAAAAGTCTTCATCATGGTCCAGTCCAAGCCGGGAATAAACAACATGGCGACTGCTTTAGAAAGAAGGTTGCAGTTTATTGAAGAGGAGAGCCAGACAGAAAGACGGCTCTGGCAGGAAAGAGGAAAAAAAAGAGCTGAGCACATGTAGGGAGTGGGTTTTTATACCCTCTGGAGTTGCATCCTGTTGCTTCCTCTTCCTGTGGCATGAACTTTGACCTGAGTCTGAGTGTGCTTTTCTGGTATTCTGATGGTGATGGGTTAATCCTATTATGACCAAAGGTCATATCCTGCTTCCTTGGGGTTGGGGCTGATGACTCCTAGAGTTTGGATGGGGTATGTAGATTTTAGGTCTTTGTCTTCTTAATCTCCTAGCTCCCAGGATTTACATCTGCATCTCTATAGAGCTGGGGCTATTAAGAAAACTGGGCATGCTTTCCTGCCTCTGGGGGACTGACTTCCCACACTTGCATGAGAGAAGCTACGTTCTCCAAAAAGCCCGGTGATAATGGGCAGGAAAGGGAAGATTAGCAGAGAAAGGAAAAGATCCATGTTTGGCCCTGGTCTAATAATTGTCTGCTGCTACTGGGAACAGCAGGGGAGCTCTTTAGGAAGCAAGGAAGTAAGGGAAGGGGCAGTGGGGGAGAAATGGCCAGGGAAGGATCTACTTGGCAGACACTTGGCAGTGGAAGAAGGAAGCAGGCAAAGAAGGAGAACAATGAAGGCCGAGACTGGCATGGTTGGAGGTGGCAGCAGGCCATTCAGTACTGTTAAGGCTTGGGGGTCGCTAACCATAGATAAATGAAGTTTGGCCCCTCTTTCTAATCCTCTCATCATTTAAGACAGGGGCCTTCAAACTGGCTGAGGAATTCTGGGAGTTGAAGTCCACAAGTCACAAAAGGGCCAAGTCTGAAGACCCCTGCTTTAAGAAATTTGGAGTAGATCTGTTCTACTCTGTTAAACAGCAGTACCCCATTCCACCCTTTCCATTATTTCAAGTCCGTCACCAATGTCACTCACTTTTAAATAGCTCTAGTTTTTCAGCGAGGTCTTCATCCGTGTTGTATTTTGGGCTCTCCAAGAATTCCTGTAGAATGGGGTGGGGGGAGGTGGGAAGGAGTTTAGAGTGGGAAAAGCGAGGATTACATCCCAACAGCAAGTAAAGAGGCAGCTTGAGGGTGAGAATAGCATTCCGTATGTCCTAATGGAAAAATGGTGGCCCATCTTAAGACCCATCCAATATTTGAGGAGCCGCCACAAAGAGGAGAGGACCATCAACTTATTTTCCAAAGCACCTGAAGGCAGGACAAGAAATAATGGATGGAAACTAATCAAGGAGAGAAGCAACCTGGAATTAAGGAGACATTTCCTAAGTGAAGTCAATTAACCAGTGGAACAGCTTTGCTGTCAAACGTTGTGGGTGCTTCATCACTGGAGGTTTTTAAGAAGAGACTGGACAGCCACCTGTCTGAAATGGTATAGGTCAGGGGTAGGCAACCTTGGCTCTTCTATGACTCGTGGACTTCAACTCCCAGGAATTCTGGGAGTTGAAGTCCACGAGTCATAAAAGAGCCAAGGTTGCCTACCCCTGGTATAGGTTCTCCTGCTTGAGCAAGGGGTTAGACTAGAAGACCTCCAAGGTCCCTTCTAGCTCTATTCTGATTGATTGAACCTGTTAAGACCATTAAGACCCAATTCTATTCATACTTAGTTGGGAGTAATTTTGATTGAACTCTGAATAGTACTCTGATTCAGTGTTTCTCAGCGTTGGTAGCTTTAAGCTGGGTGGACTTCAACTCCCAGCATGCTGGCTGGAAGAATTCTGGGAATTGATGTCCACAAAGCTTAAAGCTGTGAAGACTGAGAAATGCTTGTGGGTTGCCTATATTTCTTAAGCAAGACCACCCTTTTTGCATTCTGAATGAAGCTGAATAAATACTGAGAAAAAATGGAACATGGCTGAGGGTAGTAGAATTGTAAAGTAGTTGTAATTGTAAGTAGATTTAAAACCTGATTGTTTTTCTGCTCCAAAATGGTGTGGATTCCTTTTACTCAGATTAAGGCTGAGTGATGGTCTCCCCATCAAAGTTTCCATTTAGATTTAAGCGTTTCATATGAAGAGGAGGGGTTCACCTTCCAAATTTTCAATGGTATCGGGTGTATATATTTTATTTTTAAATTTATTTTTAAGCAGAATGGGATCATTTTGACTACATTTTAACTAGGAAAGCTATGATTTGATTCAGTTGAAAATACAGCAAGGGCTTGGTTCTAATTTCATCCAGTTACTTTTCTTGATTTAATTGCAGCAAGATAGATTGGAAAGATTTCGGGGTTAAGGCTTAAATTTGATCCTGATTCCCATGAGAACCCCAATCCTTTGTGAGTACAGTAATTTAGGAATGGCAGATAGAAGCCTTTTCGGGTAGAACCTAGGCAGTAAAAAGAATTAATATTTAAGTCAAACTGGTCATTAAAAATCCTTTTGAAGTTTTGCGAGGCTTCAGAAAGAATGTAGATTGCCTAAAAATCGTCAGTCGCAATATGTCCAATTAAATCATTGTTGATATTCCAATGCAGCTAGCTGCATTGCCAGTGGCTGAAATTACTGACTGTGTTAAGAAAGGTTTTGCTGGTGTTTAAATGTATAGGGAAGGGTCATGAAATTCAATGGTGAAAAAAGTAAGGTTCTACATTTAGGCAAGAAAAACCAAATGTACAGGTATAGTATAGGGCAGTGATGGCGAACCTTTTAGAGATGGGAGTGCCCAAACTGCAACCCAAAACCCACTTATGCATCGTCGAGTGCCGGGTGGGCGTGGTCCATTGGCTGGGTGTGGCCCATTGGGTGGGCGTGGCTGCGATGGTAACGGCAGACTGGGTGGGACTAAAAGGTTCAATCAATCAATTCCAACTTTGTAAGATCTTTTTTTTTTCGTGGGAGAAGTTGAAATTGACTGATTGAACCTTTTTTTTTTTTTGCACATGGCGGCGGAGGCCTAAAGTGAAACGGTTTTATAAAACCCAGGTGAAGGCCTAGGACTGGGGCGATGGCGCACGTGCCCACAGAGAGGGCTCTGAGTGCCGCCTCTGGCACCCGTGCCATAGCTTCGCCACCACTGGTATAGGGGGTAGTAGTAGTAACGGTGAGAGGGACCTCTCACCGTTACTAGAGTCCTAGTGGACAATCACTTAAATATGAGCCAGCAGTGTGCTGCAGCTGCCAAAAAAGCCAACACAGTGCTGGGCTGCATTAACAGAGGGATAGAATCAAGTATTAATACCACTTTACAATGCCTTGGTAAGGCCACACTTGGAATATTGCATCCAGTTTTGGTCACTACGATGTAAAAAAGATGTTGAGACTCTAGAAAGAGTACAGAGAAGAGCAACAAAGATGATTAGGGGACTGGAGGCTAAAACATATAAGGAACGGTTGCTGGAATTGGGTATGTCTAGTTTAACAAAGAGAAGGACGAGGGGGGACATGATAGCAGTGTTCCAGTATCTCAGGGGCTGCCACAAAGAAGAGGGAGTCAAGCTATTTTCCAAGGTGCCTGAAGGCAGGACAAGAAGCAACGGGTGGAAACTAATCAAGGAGAGAAGCAACCTAGAACTAAGGAGAAACTTCCTGATAGTTAGAACAATTAACCAGTGGAACAACCTGCCTCCAGAAGCGGTGAAGGCTCCAACACTGGAAGTTTTTAAGAAGAGACTGGACAGCCATTTGTCTGAAATGGTATAAGGTTTCCTGCCTGAGCAGCGGGTTGGACTCGATGACCTTCAAGGTCCCTTCCAATTTTTTTTTATTATTATTATTATTATTATTATTATTATTATTATTATTATTATTATCTGGGGCAGGGGGGATATAGGACAACTCGCTGTGGCCAGCTCACCAGGGGACAAGAGTTACACTAATATTGAAGAAATGGTGGAATGAAATCGCTAAAGAAAGGATGCAAAAGGAAGGATAAAATGAGATGTGAATGACAAAGGTTAAAATATTTTTTTAATTACTTTAAATAATTAAATTGAATTGTTGAACTGTCTCAAGGTACGTTATTCCATGGTGAGTTATCCCGTAGCGAGTTGTCCCATTCTGGGGGCAGGAGGGTTCAAAAAAGTAAAGATGGTCAGTGTGATCATATAATGAAAGCCTTGGGGCCTGAATCACAGGATCACAGCTGCCATCTTAAATTTTTGACTCCTTTGAATATAAAATTGCATTATTACATACACTGAGATGTATCTTCCTCTACTGTATTTTAACTTTAATCTATCTATCTATCTATCTATCTATCTATCTATCTATCTATCTATCTATCTATCTATCTATCTATCTATCTATCTATCTATCTATCTATCTATCTATCTATCTATCTATCTATCTATCCATCCATCCATCCATCCATCCATCCATCCATCCATCCATCCATCCATCCATCCATCCATCCATCCATCCATCCATCCATCCAGTGAAGGCAGTACATTAGAAGTTCTGTCACTGTTGAAGGCAGCAAAGAATCTAATAAGGAAATCTCTCTGAAATGATGACCCAACCGCTCACGGGTTGTCTAGTATTGTAATCTAATTTAGCCAGTAGGGGGCAGCTAAACTATAGGGTTAGGTAGTATTTTGGACCAGACACAAACTAGAATTTCAACAGTGTTGGCTGTTTGCTTTCACAATATAGTTATGGTTTATATAACCACTTTGAGGTGAAGAAACCCAGCCTGCTTCTTAAAAATGTAACATATCTTCCAGAAAATTCAGGTGTACAGCAGGAGATTCAGCTGCCTCCCTTACAATCAGGAGGAGTTAACAGAGGCATAAAATCAAGATCATGTGACGTGTTAGTACCACTTTATAATGCCTTGGTAAGACCACACTTGAAATATTGCATCCATTTTTGGTCGCCACAACATAAAAAAGGTTGAGATTCTAGAAAGACTGCAGAGAAGAGCAACAAAGATGATTAGGAGACTGAAGATTAAAACATACTAAGAATGGTTGCAGGAAATGAGTATGTCTAGTTCAGGGGTAGGCAACATTGGCTCTTTTATGATTCGTGGACTTCAATTCCCAGAATTCCTGAGCCAGCCACGGGAGTTGAAGTCCACGAGTCATAAAAGAGCCAAGGTTGCCTATCCCTGGTCTAGTTTAATGAAAAAGAAGTTGTGGGTGCTCCAACACTGGAGGTTTTTAAGAAGAGATTAGACAAAATTTGGCTGAAATGGTGTAGGGCCTCCTGTTTGAGCAGGGGGTTGGACTAGAAGACCTTCAAGATCCCTTCCAACTCTGTTATTCTGAGTTTCATAGTTTTCCAGCTACCAAATGTTATTGCAAGGCAAGTTTTTGTGATCTACAACTCATTTCACCATGTGACATGGAGTGACTAGACGCATGTGGGATTGGAAGACGGAAAATAACCATCTTAGAAAAAAAGAAATTTCATCAGCACAACTTTGAGTGTGAACCTGCCATCAAAAGATTTCAAGTTGTCTCAAAAGATATTAACAAGTACAATGGGTCTTACCACTGTTCAACTGATAAGGAACTTGAAATGGTTTCACAGAGGGTTATCAGGCAAAAGGAGGACACATCCACCTTTTTGTCTTCTGTCCAATAGGCATAGACTTAAAATCAAATAATAGCTGGCTTTGGGGTGTCTTGGGATTATTTGGGGAGGGCTGTTTTCACAACAGTAGTCACTGAAATTTACATGTATTGCGGCCAGTGATGGGATTCAAATATGTGAACAACCGGTTCTTTATGTGGATGCTGCTTCCGGTTCTGCCGAAGTGGTGCGAACCGGCTGAATCCCACCACTGATTGCGGCTTGTAAATAATAATAATAATAATAATAATAATAATAATAATAATAATAATAATAATAATAATAATAATAATAATAATAAAGTTGGAAGAGACCTTGAAGGTCATCGAGTCCAACCCCCTGCTCATGCAGGAAACCCTATACCATTTCGGACAAATGGCTGTCCAGTTTCTTCTTAAAAACTTCCAGTGTTGGAGCATTCACCGCTTCTGGAGGCAGGTTGTTCCACTGGTTAATTGTTAATTGTTCTGTCAGGAAGTTTCTCCTTAGTTCTTAGTTCTAAGTTGCTTCTCTCCTTGATTAGTTTCCATCCGTTGCTTCTTGACCTGCCTTCAGGCGCTTTGGAGAATAGCTTGACTCCCTCTTCTTTGTGGCAGCCCCTGAGATACTGGAACACTGCTATCATGTCCCCCCTGGTCCTTCTCTTTGTTAAACTAGACATACCCAATTCCAGCAACCGTTCCTTATATGTTTTAGCCTCCAGTCCCCTAATCATCTTTGTTGCTCTTCTCTGTACTCTTTCTAGAGTCTCAGCATCTTTTTTACATCGTGGTGACCAAAACTGGATGCAGTATTCCAAGTGTGGCCTTACCAAGGCATTGTAAAGTGGTATTAATACTTCACGTGATCTTGATTCTATCCCTCTGTTAATGCAGCCTAGCACTGTGTTGGCTTTTTTGGCAGCTGCAGCACACGGCTGGCACATATTTAAGTGATTGTCCACTAGGACTCCGAGATCCCTCTCACAGTTACTACTATTGAGCAAGGTACCCCCTATACTATACCTGTACATTTGATTCCCCTTGCCCAAATGCAAAACCTTACTTTTTTCACCATTGAATTTCAGTTTGTTAGATAGTGCCCAGTGTTCAAGTCTGTCCAGATCCTCCTGTATCCTAAGCCTGTCTTCTGGAGTGTTGTCTATTCCTGCCAGCTTGGTGTCATCTGCAAATTTGATGAGTTCCTCATCTATCCCCTCGTCCAAATCGTTGATGAGGATGTTGAAGAGCACTGGTGAAAATGTCTGCTTATTTCTTTTTCTTGTCACTCAACAGACAAAACCGCTTAGATTTACATTATTTAATTTATTTAATTTATTGTTGACTCCAGCAATCACCTTCAATCCAGCCTCTTCACTGTAGATCACATATACCTTATACCTTTCTGTGGTGAGACCCTGTTTTATTGCTATCTTATATCCTTGAAAATAAAAACCTACTTATTTATTTTATGGAAAAATGTTGCAGTTGAAGAGGCAGTCTTTCTAATGCTGGAGAAAGGCATCTCACAGACACCTAGGCCTAAATACATCTTTTTTTGCAGGTTTTCGCTCTAATTGTTGTCACCCAAACAGTATGTCCATCTTTCCCTTCTAAGTCCTTCTGTGCAATTGTCCATATCCTCCTTTGCCTGTTCAGATATCTGATAGCTCTAGACCAGGGGTGTCAAACTGCTGGCCCGCGGCAAGATGCATCATAGCGAAACCGCGCCCACCCCATTGCCGGTGATGGGAAAAAAAGTCACAATACGTCGCGACACGTCACGTGACGTTGCGAGTTTGACACCCCTGCTCTAGTCTCATTTGTAGCTGCAAAACCAACTTTGTCCCAAAGATGATTTTTCAAAAGGCAACTGGATTTTCTTTGTTTTTCCTTGAAGACGTTTTGCTTCTCATCAGAGAAGCTTCAGTCAGAACTGAAGAAGCTTCTGGGATGAGAAGCGAAATGTCTTCAAGGAAAAAACAAAGAAAATCCAGTTGCCTTTTGAAAAATCACCTTTGGGACAACCAGGTCCTGGATGACTGAGAATCTCCACAGGCAAAACCAACTTGTTATTCGCCATCTTCTCCCAGTTTAAATCCTCCATCATTCTGACTTGTTGGGAAAGCTGTTGTCAGATTTCTCCTGATTCTCAGCTCCCGTGGACTGCTGTATCACAGCTCTTCTCCTACAATGTTCTTAACCTTACAGAAAATCTTCAGTCGTATTCATACTGTGAAATGGAATCGGGTAATGACACGATGGTTGATAAAGAGCTTTATATGCTGATCATTGTGGTTTGCGGAAATTGAGACTTTGGCAACAGAGTTTTTTGGCTGGTAATCTGTCATTTGAATCTCTCTGCTCATGTATTTACTAATGGGATTATTTCACCAGTAATTGAAATGCAACATGAGACCTAAGGATGACCTTCGTTTCCCCTACGTTTTAATCCAATGCTGCAACTTTTGACATAAGATAACCGGATGGAATCCACAGCCTCTGGTTTGCTGAAATGTAGAGAATAGGTGATCTCCAGATTATATGATGTGTGACTGTGTGCAAATAAACGAATATAAAACAGAGATGAGAATCTGTACCTGAGATTGCTGAAGCGATATAGCTATATGGTAAATATTCAGATATACAATAAATTGGAGTAAGTCAAATAGAGTGCTGACTGGCAAAAAGCTTTTGATACTGGTAGATGTAGGCAAAATCTAATTTTTGTTTATTGATTGGAACTTCTTAATTATCATCCTGTTTAGTGGATAAGAACAGTTCAGTACGTATCACCTGGATAAGACAGAGTGTTAAAAGATGGATGAAAATAATCTTAAATTTGTGGGGAAGAACTAATGTAATAAAAATGAATTTTGCATCAAGACTGATATGTATTTATTTGGGGATCAGAATCTGTTTGGACTGGGCCAAAGTCTTCCAGGGAGCTTGAGTGGCTGGGTGAGGGGATTAGAACCCAGGTCTTCTTACTCCTAGTTCAACACCTTCACCACTAGACCTTGGGCCAGTCTCCTGTCTCAGGCCAAGAATCACTTTCATGACTAAGGATAGACTTGAAGCCATTGTTAACCAAGGATATTCCTCAATTAACTTTGTTTCCTAGGTTCACATACAGGTAAGCATCTCTCACGAGGCTCAAAAACAGTGTTTCTCAACCTTGGCAACTTTAAGATGCGTGGACTTCAACTCCCAGAATTCCCTAGCCAGCAGGTCTGGCTGGGGAATTCTGGGAGTTGAAGTACACACCTCATAAAGTTGTCAGGGTTGAGAAACACTGCTCAAAAAACGATTGGTCGACAGTGTGTGGTGTTAACACAGCTTTGAGTCTTACCTTGTTGATGGAATCTAACAGTTCCTCCTGCTGGACCTTCAATGCCTTAAAGGCCTTTCCTCCTAAGGAAGGGAGAAAATATTAACAGCCATGCAAAGTTGTCTGCACGTCTCTCCCTTCCTTCCCACATGTTCCTCTGTACGTTATCCAGTATTTACAGTTCCTCTTTTAGTTGCAGTTTCTTGATGAGAAAGGAGATGAGATGTTCCTTTCCTTGGGTTTTGGTTTGCTGTAAATCTTGGGCAATCAAAGAGGAACTAAACCAGATATTCTGACTCTGTGTTTTTCTGTCGCTCTTCTCCACCCCCTCACCCCCCCCCATAGCAAGGAGGAAAAGCGAAAGCTGAAAAACAGCTACTGGTAGTCCTCAAAGTACGACCACAATTTAGCCCAAAATCTTTGTTGTTAAGGGAGACATTTGTTATGTGCGTTTTGCCACATTTTATGACATTTATAATAATAATAATAATAATAATAATAATAATAATAATAATAATAATGATGATGATGATGATGATGATGATGATGATGATGATGATGATAATAATAATAATAATAATAATAATAATAATAATAATAATAATAATAATAATAATAATAATGTAGTTGGAAGGGACCTTGGAGGTCATCTAGTCCAACCCCCTGCTCAGGCAGGAACCCTACACCATTTCAGACAAATGGCTGTCCAGCCTCTTCTTAAAAACTTCCAGTGTTGGAGCATTCACCGCTTCTGGAGGCAGGTTGTTCCACTGGTTAATTGTTCTAACTGTCAGGAAGTTTCTCCTTAGTTCTAGGTTGCTTCTCTCCTTGATTAGTTTCCATCCGTTGCTTCTTGTCCTGCCTTCAGGCGCTTTGGAGAATAGCTTGACACCCTCTTCTTTGTAGCAGCCCCTGAGATATTTGAACACTGCTATCATGTCCCCCCTCTCCCTTCTCTTCGTTAAACTAGACATACCCAACTCCAGCAACCACATACCCAATTCCAGCAACCTAGATGATTGTTATCACAGAAAGATAGAAGCCATGATGTCTCATTTGTGACTTTCAGCCAATTATTCCAATATCCGAAGGTCTCTTTTCTTTCAGCTTCTTCCCTATTTGAGGAACGTCCAGTTCAACAACAGTGCTGGAGATGAAATCTCCTTCTCAGAAAATGGGCTGGGATCTGCCCATTATGATCTTCTCAACTGGGTTCTCCTCCCCAATCTATCTTTTGTCCCCATGAAAGTTGGCCAAATAAATCTGGGGGCTCCCCCAGGACAGGATTTCACCATTAATTCCAGTGCAATTGTCTGGGCAACAAAGGTGAGCTGGAAGCTTATATAAATTCAGAGAAAAACTCATTCCCTTCCGGGGATACAAAACCTCCAGTCTATTGAATTTCTTGCCACAGTTGTTAAGTGAATCACCATAGTTCATAGTAACCCGGTTGTTAAGTGAATCTGGCTTCCCCATTGACTTTGCTTGTCAGAAGATCACAAAAGGGGATCACATGACACCCGGGACACAGCAACCGTCATAAATATGAACCGGTTGCCAAGCATCTGAATTTTGGTCACATGACCCTGGGGTTGCTGCAAAGGTTCCAACTGTGAAAAATAGTAATAAGTCACTTTATTCAGTGCCGTTGTAGCTTTGAATGATCGCTAAATGAACTGTTGTAAGTCAAGGATTACCGATAAAAGACTATGGCTACGGTGGAAATCGGACATTGCAAAGTTGGCCAGGGAAGGAAAGATGGGTATTCAGGTCTCGCAAAAAATAATGTGTCAGCTTAAAAGACTTTTTTTGTGTGGTAAGAATGGCAAACTTCCATATTCACAAGTAATTTGTGTTGTTTCGAAATATCTGCCCATAATAAGAAAGGAGGTAGTGGTGACCGGCATGGTCGTCGGTCCTTAGAGAAGCACCAACCGTGAGTGCTCACACTGCCTTCATTGTGAGGTTAGATTAACAGAATCTTGCCAGTCTGAAAGTACATCTCTTCCCCCTTTACCTTTATAATCCAAGAAACGAAGGAAGGTCTTCTTCTGAAATGGAATGGGACAACTCACCGCAGCCAATTCGGCACAGGACAATTTGCTGTGGAACAATTCAACTTAATCATTTAAAATAATTTTAAAAATTATTTTAACTTCCATCATTCACATTTAATTTTGTCCCTCCTTTTGCGTCCTTTCTTTAATTATTCCATTCCACCATTTCTTTTGTTCCATGATGAGTTGTCCCAGGGCAAGTTGTCCTATGACAAGTTGACTGCAGTGAGTTGGCTGTGGTGAGTTGTCCTAGACCCCTTTTGAAATGTTTGCCACACCCATGTTGCTTCTCTGGGCTCAGCTGCCTCTTATCTGATTGCTGCCTAGTCTGCACTTCTTCTTCTTCTTCTTCTTCTTCTTCTTCTTCTTCTTCTTCTTCTTCTTCTTCTTCTTCTTCTTCTTCTTCTTCTTCTTCTTCTTCTTCTTCTTCTTCTTCTTCTTCTTCTTCTTCTTCTTCTTCTTCTTCTTCTTCTTCTTCTTCTTCTTTCTCCCTCCCCTCTCTCATTCTCACAGATCATTACAATGATTGCCCAGGGAACCATTGAGGGCCTCCAGACCTTTAAATCAATTGGTGATCCTTAAAGGCAGAGTTAAGCAACCTAGTACAGCTACTCCTTGACTTACAACTATTTGTTTAGTGACCATTCAAACTCATGGCACTGAAAAAAGTGACTGTTTTTCACATTTACAACCGTTGCAGCATCTCCACAGTCACGTGATCAAAATTGGGATGCTAGGCAACTGATTCATATTTGTGACGTTTGGAGTGCCATAGGATCCCCTTTTGTGACCTTCTGTCAAGCAGAGTCAATGGGGAAGCCAGGTTCACTTAACAACCGTGTTACTAACTTAACATCTGCAGTGATTCACTTAACAACGGTGGCAAGAAAAGTCATAAAATGGTGCAAAACTTGCTGAGCAAGTGTCTCACGTAGCAACAGAAATTTTGGGCTCAACTATGGTCAAAAGTCAAGGACTACCGATACCTATCACTCTCCTTCCTTGAGCTGACATTTTGAAAAGCAAAATAAAAAACTTCCTTCCTTCCTTCCTTCCTTCCTTCCTTCCTTCCTTCCTTCCTTCCTTCCTTCCTTCCTTCCTTCCTTCCTTCCTTCCTTCTTTCCACTCCACTCCACTCCATTCCACCCCACCCCACCCCACCCCACCCCACTGAGGCCCTCTGCATGGACTTCTTCAAGGAAGGGTTATCTCATATCAAGACATCCTGAGCAAATTATGGAAGTGCTGACTTTGATGGTTCATAACTTGAATATGAATTTAAATGCTGACCAATGGATTATTTGTTTTATTTTTAGTTTAGCTCAATATAGTTTAAATTCAAAAGTATTTAAACTCAAGTTTGCATAATCTGCATGATGACCCGTGGATGCATGTGACATCGGCGGGGCCACTGCTGTTATTTTTCTTCCTTTTCACTGTGTCAGACCCATTTCAGAACATTGCCTGCTTTAAGGCAGAACATTCATTTTCAGCAATTGCCCCACTAAAATTTGGTGATACGTTCAAAGGAAACTTTGAGCCTCCAGAAGGAAACTTGGGAAAAAAAACACGACCTCTTTAGGGTGATGGCTTGGCCATCCACCCCATATAAACAATAAATGAGAGAAGGCAAAAGCTAGGAAGTCAGAAACAAGAGTTTTGCGCTAAGGCAGAAACAGAAATTACAGAGTCTCTAAGCTGCAGGTAACTACTGAAACTTGTAGGGTGTCCCTTTTGGACAATGCCAGACCTTATCATTTTGTACTTTCTGTGAGATATGATTAAACACATAATTAAAGAGCAACCCAATCAAGAGAGAATGAAATCTAAAAATAAGTCAATATGCGCAAAATTAAGTTTCATTCCTGTTCTTGACCCACCTTCTCCTTTTGATAGAGCATGTTTGCTGGCCTGCCACCCAACAGACAGTGCTGGAATACTTGATCCCCCTGATTGTAAGGCTTCCTGTTTCCAAGACTACACAAAAAAAGTCAAGTTGACAGCCGCAACAGTGTCATTGAAGTTCTGTCGACTGACAAGTTGACTTTTTTGACCACATCCTGCAGATCTCCCTGATTCCTGCTTTTCAAGCTGGGACTGTCGCTGTGCCTCGGTCGGGAGACTTCAAGCTGTAGATTGTTCTAACAGGATGTCACTGCCAACTTATCAGCTGAGTTCCCAGGAAAGATTCAAAGATTTATAATAAACCTGGAAGGGAGGTCTTCTAGTCAAACCCTCTGCTCAAGCAGGAGACCCTATACAATTTGAGATAAGGGGCTGTTCGGTCTCTTAAAAACATCCATTGATGGAGCACCCACAACTTCTGGAGGCAAGCCCTTCCACTAAATGATTGTTAGGAAATTTCTTCTTAGTTCTAGGTTGCTTCTCTCCACGATTAATTTTCACCCATTGTTTCTTGTCTTGCCCTCTGGTGCTTTGGAAAATAAGTTGACCCTCCCTCTTCTTTGTGGCAGCCCCTCAAATACGGGAACACTGCTACCATGTCACTCTTAGTCATTCTTTTCTCTAGAGTAGCCATACCCAAATCCTGCAATCGTTCTTCAACTTGTAAGCCCATGCTTGCAAAAATATCTGTTCATCAGATCAAGGAGTTGATAAGAACTCCAGCCCTTGCTCAGCTCAAGTTCTGCAAGCCATCTGGGAGCCCTCCTTAGCCTTTAAGGTATCCTGTTAGTCTCCTTTCACAACCCAAAGTTGTTTTCTCCCGTGGTTCTAACCTGGCAAAGCCTAGCCAAATTCTCTTTTTGCCCTGTTTACGGTGTCTTTCACTCCTTCCCTTTCCCCTTGGTCCCTCTGGTTCTCTGGCTGTTAATAATTTCCCAATGCTAGCCTCTTTCCCAACTCTTAAATTGCAAAAGACACTTTCCCAAACAACTGGTACCTTGTGGATTCATCGGCTCACTTGTGCCTTTGCCTTGTCTTCCAAAGGGTCCCCTGGATTCCCACACACGGCTCTGCTCAGCACCGCCACTCCGCTCCGCTGACCGTCCTCTTTGTATAGACAGCACGGTATACATGCATGTATGTGTGAAGTGGCCACTTCCTTTTTTCTGCTCAGAGAAACCACAGTTCATTGGCGCGCACCCGTTGCATGGGTAGAAGTAGGCATAATGTTTCGGGAAGCCTCGTGCTGCAGGGAACCCGTGGGTGGGGGCAGGCTGGAAATGACAGGCCCACCCTTTGTGCAGAAGGAGCAGGTGGAAACTCGAGGCAAGGCTGGGGTGAAGGAGGGCTGAGGGAGGGATTCGGGGGGGGGGACATTCCTAGCAGCTGCAAAGCTTAACAGATACCTTCAGATTTGCAGCATCGCAAGTTATTGTGCTGTTGAAATATGTATTAGCTCATTCTTACTCACTGTTTTGGTGTGGGGAGAACTGCACTGCATGTTTTAAAGTAAGAGTCAAGTCACTCACCCTACCCCCACATGGCCCATGGAGCCCTACTAAAACACGATGACAAATTGACGCGTTTTCAGCTGTTCTGAGTTTCACTCATTTTAAGGTGGGTTGGAATAGTTTTTTAAGTATGGGAATGGAAGCCTAAGGCGTCACCGCAGCAAGATTCGGGTAATCCCCGACTTACAACAGTTCCTTTAGTGACCGTTCGAAGTTACAACAGCACTGAAAAAAGTGACTTGTGAACAGTTTTCACACTTATGACCATTGCAGCATCCCCGTGATCACATGATCAAAATTTGGACGTTTGGCAACGAGTTCATATTTACAACGGTCGCAGTGTCCCGGGGTCATGTGATCACCTTTTGCGGCCTTCTGACAAGCAGAGTCAATGGGGAAGCCAGATTCAACTTAACAACCGTGTTACCAACTTAACAACTGCAGTGATTCATGTTTACATCTGTGGCATGAAAGGTTGTAAAATGGGGCAAAATTCACTTAACAACTCTCTTCCTTAGGAGCAGAAATTTGGGGGTCAATTGTAAGTTGAGGACTACCTATATTATGGGGTAGCTATAAGTTAATACTAATTTGATGGCACATAACCAACCAACCAACTAAACAACCAACCGTATTATTAGCATCCAGTCATATATTTTTATGATTTCTCCCTTTGTAACAAGACCAGACATGGAGGTCAGTAGGCTCCTCCTGCTTATTTGGCTGGAATGAAGAAAACAATCTTACATGATCAACTTGTGTATCCATTTTGGACACACAGACACGCACGCGCACAACAACAACAACATTATACCAATACAAAAATAGGGACAAGGCTCATTTGAATCCCAGCAGACACTGCTGTTGCATGCAGAATGGTGTTTATCCAAGCATCTGAACCTGGTTTTTGATAAAGTCCATCGAAATTATGGCTGATTTATCAAGTCTTGTAAGTGGAAGCATTTGACCGATTCCCTTGACGGTTGTTTTTGGCCTTGTAGACGTTGAATGGATTTGAGTCCCAGGGTTATGTGCTTTTATATGTATTGTTATTTTTACGAACCGTGGTTGCCACTGTTTTATTGCAATATCGGTAATATGTGTCTACACTGCTCAGAGTGGGCATCAATTGGAGCAGCTTAGAAGCCCAATACAAGAAATAAAAAAGAATTGAATTAAAAAAAATCATTTTGAAAGCCATTCCAAAAGGCTCCAAGATACTCATGAAGCTTTACACTCGGCACTTTTGGTTTGCTTACTACAGGGCTTTTCAACCAGTGGTACGGGTACCACCTGTGGTACATTGTCACCTGGCAGGTGGTATGCGGCCATCCTAGAAAAGTGGTAGCGGGGGAGAGGAATGAGCTGAACTGGTGGCAGCACCGCACAAGCCTGAGCGAGAGATGGCTGGAGCTGCAGGGCTGTCAGGGCTCAGTGGAAGCACCAGGATCAGCGCCAGGCTCCAGCTGGAGCTCAGCGCTGATCCTGGTGCTTCTGCTGAGCCCAGAAGAAGCGCCGATCAGCTGGAATGTTGCAGCATCTCCAGGGTCTTGTGATTTACATTCAGATGCTTGGCAACTGATTCATATTTATGATGGTCCCAGTGTCCCAGGGTCATGTGAAGTGACCAAAACCTGCTGCAACCACCCAGCAGACGGGGGGGGGGGGTGAATAAAAACCAAACACCCCCCACCCCACCCCCCACTGCCAATCCTCAACAGAAATGCTCACAACAATGGAAACCTCGGACAGGAGGAAGAGCGCCGCCGGGCGAGCAGGCAGGTGTCTTGCTCGGCTGTGGCTTGGGGGGGCACTTTTTTCAGTGCCATTGTAACTTCGAACAGTCACTAAGCAAACTGTTGTAAGTTGAGGACTACCTGTACTTTATCACTTTTTTCCTTTTTTTTTTTTTTGGTCATCAAGTTTTTGACACCTTGCTAGGCGACTGGGGGTACGCGGATGTTGCCATATCCTAAAAGTGGTACAATGGGTGAAAAGGTTGAATAGCCCTGGCTTACTAAATAGCCCTAGAATTAGCTGTATTTGGATAGAGCCTGACACAGCTCAAGACTTGGGAGTGAGGTTTTGACCCAGGGATGTGTGGTGGACCTTTGCCCTCTGTCTAGGCTAGGGCAAAGACCGTGGACTTTTGTTACATTTCTAGTTTGCAGAAATCAAGGCTCCACGTTTGCTGTTGCCAATCTTTACCTTTAATGATGGCGATAGCCTTTCCAGCAGCATCCAGGAAGCAGAAGGGAATCTGTTCTCTGATTCTTAATGTAGTTC